TAGTTATGACACTTTAAAGGTTTTCGGTTTCCGATTTACTCATAGTATTTGTAAACGAAGGAATTTTTATAGTTTTGCACAAAATTGTGCTTTTGCCTAATACTCGCTAAAGCCGAACATTCGTTAAAGATGTGATGAAGTGATAGCGTGCTTGCGCAGAGAGGGCAAGATGGTTTTACTTTGCCAGTAAATAGGTGCTGATGTGTGAGTTGTGTGTGGCCAATCCTTAGACGCGTGAAGATGGTAGCTTGTAGGCGAGATTCAGGGTGGCTGATGAAAGACGCTGCCAAAAAAATATTAAATAACTTTTTCTCTATTTAATGAATCTGGTTAATTTTTTATTTTTATTTTGCAGATTGACTTTTATATTTAACAAAAATGGATAACTGGGACACTGAAACAAGAATTTGGATTGTCCGCCGCTATCACGCACTGAAGTCCGTAGTTTCGGTTCAAAGAGAGTATAGGCGCACGTTTGGCGGCAATACTCCGAGTCATGCCGATCATAGGACAGTCAACAGAAGAAAAAATTCAAATGGCCAACAAACTGAACGCTGCAGACTTGTCGATTCGCTTGGAACTTTGCCAGAAGATGCTTCAAATGGTGGAAGAGGATGGAAACATGTTGAACTGTCTTTTCATGTCTGACGAGGCCCATTTCGATTCAAACGGAAACATAAACAAACAAAATTGTCGAATATTGCCAACCCTCAGATACTCCATGAGACGGAATTGCATCCACTTCGTGTCACAGTGTGGTGTGCAGTTTCATTACGCTGCATTGTCGGGCCCTACTTCTTCGAAGAAAACGGTCACACAGTTACGGTTACTGGAGACCGTTACTTGAGCATGTTGAGAGAGTTTTCTATTAAAAATAAATTCCATTTAAATTCCATTACTTTTAAAACTAAATGAGCTATATTTAATAAAATTGAATGAGCTTTAACATGAATAAAAGAAAAATGAATTACATACACTGAAAAAAAAAAAAATTAAAATATTTGAGTTTCTTAATGTAGCAAAATTCAATAGCCACCCTGTATATGCTATATTTCCTGGTGGGGTTGAAAGTAGAGTACCGATGGTGGACACGTTTCCATTTCGCGTGTTTAATTTCGTAAACGTAGCGGTCCAGCATATTACAGAGGTCGTTTCTGTCATGTGGCTCATATTGTAGGTTTGGCGCTGATTCAAAAAACCGAGCTGCGTGGTCTCCATGTTAATTACCCATAATACCAACATGTCCTGGTACCCAGAGTAGTGCAACTTTATGACTATATTTAACGCACAGGTCGCGAATATTTGGTATAAGTGAGGCAGTGTTGCGAATGTTACAAACAGCAGATAGACAAGAAAAGCTATCCGAGCAAATAACAAATTTGCTTTTGCTATGTATCGCATATTCTAGTGCTTTGAAAACGGCAAAAGCTACGGCTGTAAATATCGACGAGTAACAAGGAAGAATCCCGCCTGGAGTAACTTCTCCATTTGGTTTGGTGAGAGCAAAAGCTGTGTTTATCGCTTTGGACCTGTCTGTGTAAATTGCAGTCCAATTGCTTTCTTCATGGGTTTTCATTACCTCTAAGAAGAGTTTCTGAAATGCTAAATTACTGGTATTGCTCTATTTATCAAAAGCTAGACAAAAGCATATGTTAATAGTTTCTTTCTTTAACAACCACTCCGGCTGTTTGTTGACCCTCTTGTACTTTGGAGGCGGATATATGTTTAAGTCTTTTCCGTATTTAATACAACGGCGTAAAGGGGAATTTAGACTGAAGTTCCGTTTATGTCGTGACGCGTAAATTATGGTTTTATGTAAGCTGGCATTTGGAGAGTATATCAGTTTTGGAATTAGTTGCATCGTTCGTTCGAATACCCTTTTCTTTAATATTGGTAGGCCACATTCCGCCAAGATACACTTAATAGGTGATGTAGGGAAAGCGTTTATACTCCGACGGCTTGCTGCATGGTAGGGAGGTTCCAAAAGTTTCAAATTAGAGTTTGAGCACCATCCATAAGTAGGTAAACCGTAGTCGATTTTAGCGAGTATTAAGCTCTTGTAGCGGGTATTAGAGAATTGGGATGAATAAAAGATTGTCTACTAGTTAAATATTTAATTATGTGTAGTCTTTTTGTTATGTTATTTTTTTAGGTTAAGATATTGATACCGTAAATTAAATCTTTTATCAAAATATACTCCTAAAATATTTAAATTGCTTTCGGATTCTATTACAATATTTTCCAAAACTAATTGTGGATATATACATTTGTCTTTGTACAAACGAGCATCCTCCCCCGACCTCAACACACACACCACATTATCACACCACATCGACTCAAACTTACATCACTAACACCCAACTTTCACCACAGATCGCTTACAACCCACATTCTACACCACTCATGAGGGCATTACACACCGACATCTACACAAATCTGCACACATGTATACCAACACCCATCACACCATCCGATTCAGCACCAGCGGGAACCAGGAAGGACTGATAAACAGATCGACTCCGCAGTTCGTTCTACGACACTACCAGCGATCGGTTATAAAATTTATTTGATAGTTATCTTAATTATTTTCAATAAGTAGAAACAGTGCAAGTTTTTGGTTTTTAGTGAAAGTAAAAGGCTTTTTGGTGTCTACCGATACTCACACTCACGGATAAAACTCGGTTCCATTTATTTGCGCTACTTTATTGGTGGCACAAAAACCCAAAAGTTGAACATTGTTTATGCGAGCCTGAAATTTTCTTAGGATCATAAAAGCTTTTACTATTCTAAAAACTTTTGGACCTGTCTTCCAAGCTGCTAATTGGCTTAGAACTGCATGAATTCCCATGCGATCAAAAGCTCTCTCGAAATCAGTGACCAGGATACCACTATCATGGTTTTTGGTGGAAAGAGTGTCAGATACATAGTGTTGGAGTTGGATAAGTGAATCCATTGTACTGAGCTGACGTTTGAAAGTTGTTTGGTTGTGATTTATGAAATTATTTTTTGTAGCAAACCATGAAAGTCGCCTAGCAATAATTTTTTCGAAAATTTTACTTAAGCAGGATGGCAAGGAAATTGGTCTGTAAAAAGTAGTTAGGTTCGATGGTTTATTTGGTGGAATAATTGGGATAATGCTGTCGTTGCGTTGTCATTAGGGTGGTTTTTTTACGTGGCGGGTCCCAAACCCAGCGCACAACTCTATACAGGGAATGTTTCGCCTTCTCACATTAGCTCGCCTTCAAACGGATGTTCTTAGGCTACCTAGAGGATACTTGGCCAAGGACCGGAAGTCATGAGCTGCTTGAGTCATATGTAAAAGAATCGTTTCTGGCCACTCCCAAGTGAATGGCGATCGGAAAACTTTAGTCACTTGCGTGAACTTCTACACATGACTCCATCCTCCAGTCTGCTTTCTCCAGACTGGACAAGGAAGCAACACAAATGGGTCTGGCAGTGAACGAGGGCAAGACGAAATATTTCCTGTCATCAGACAAACAGTCGTCGCACTCGCGACTTGGCACTCACGTCACTGTTGACAGTCATAGCTTTGAAGTTGTAGATAATTTCGTCTATCTTGGAACCAGCGTAAACACCACCAACAATGTCAGCCTAGAAATCCAACGCAGGATAACTCTTGCCAACAGGTGCTACTTCGGACTGAGTAGGCAATTGAGAAGCAAAATCCCCTCTCGATAAACAAAAACCAAACTCTATAAGTCACTCATAATACCCGTCCTGCTATATGGTGCAGAGGCTTGGACGATGTCAACAACAGATGAGTCGACGTTGCGAGTTTTCTAGAGAAAAGTTCTACGAAAGATTTATGGTCCTTTGCGCGTTGGCCACGGTGAATATCGCATTCGATGGAACGATGAGCTGTACGAGATATACGACGA